CCTTGAACAAAATTAAAAGGAGCTTGGCTATGTTACATTCTTTGCACAGCATACAACATCAAAAAATAATACACAATCAAGAGCTCCCCAGACATTTGAACTACTATAGAGGAAAAAACCTGATTAGTGTGTGAGAATGTAATTTTGTGGGAGCAAGGACCTAGCACAATGAGTTGATTCTGGGGAAGAACAGTTCTGTTGTGTGAGACATTCCCATTTACACATCTTTTAATCGGCACAATTATCTCTGAATGTTTTCAGCTAGCATTAACACCTTAGTAATGAAGTTTGCACCCTCTCATCAGCAGGTTTACTGGCTTTACATTTGATTGCCCCATGAAATCTTATCACATACTCCATTTCCTGTTTGGTATGATTGTTCCTCTGCAAGGAAAAGCATGACAACAAATACTTTTACATCTTATATCAGAAATACATTGGTGATATTAAAGTTTCCCCAGTGCAAACGAGTTCAAAATTAAGCCACAGACAATTGTAAGCCATAGTCTGTGTTCACAAATGCCGCCCCCACCCCCCTGCAGGACTGCAATTGTGATGTTAAAAGTGCTCAGCATGAGATGATGAGACACACACGATCAAGCAGGAACGACCCTCCCAAAGACAGTTTGCATGACAATATACTCTCACTAAGTCACAAGTTGTTGCAATGTCGTGAGCTTGATTTGATTGTGAAATTGAAATTACAACCATAGAAAGTCGCTGTGTTAAACCAGTGACTTATTATTTTCAGTCTTCTGGCCAGGGGCACATCATCACCAATCAACAAATAACCAAAAACACCTCTCTGACGCGATCCTTTAAAAATTATATGCTGTACTGCATGAAAGCTGCCTCTTCTGCGAAATCGTAATTTAGATGACTAGGCTATATCAGATTTTGTTCACACAACCTAAGCTGAAAATGTTGTCTAAATAAAATATGTTTGGATGCAATGCCAAAACAGACCAAGATTTTAGGAAGAAAAGGGTCAGGGGGAGACAGGATTTCTTGTGAGCACGTCACGAAGCTTTTTCCTGCAAATCAGCAAACTTCTCCACGTCTACCGAAATGTCTATACCCACATTACAATAAAGACGAGTAATTACAGCCTAATTAAAATTACATTATAGATAGAAGACATAATTTTAACTTACCTTGTGGGTTATTTGTCAAAGTGCTTTTATGAGGGCTCGGTAACTGGCACAGGTCGAACTATTCTGCCATCTCCCGAGAATTCACCGACAATACCCGATTTGTTTTCCAAAGTCCGAAAAGCAGAGCTTACATGACGCCAACATTATCGTCGGTCGTTCGCTCAGAGAAAAAGGGTGATAAATTCACTCGATATATGAGTTTAGCAGAGAGAAAAAATTAAGATACATTTTGTTTCGTTGTCCGTCTTTACACATTAGCACCGTCTCAGCTTCACAACTCGCAGCGCTAGGGAGGGAAAAAGCCAGGATTGGAGGAGGAAGTTACCTCGCATCAATTACCCCAGCGTTAAGTGAAAAGATAAACACACTCTCTTCCGGTCCAAAGTTTCAAAATAAAACAAATACAAACTTTAAACAAAATATGAAAAATAAAAACATTTGTTTTTCTAGGGGGCGAAGAGGAATATTGATGAAAAATGCATATTATAATATAATTTCTCACAGCCCACGGAGATTGTATCCAAATTGTTCATTTATTTCAACTAACAACCAACCAACAATTCAACCAACATCAATTTACAATCATTTGACAAATATAACAAAAGCTTCAAATTCTACAGGCTGAAATCATCTAGTAAACTATTGTTCCACTGTGCCACATTAAACTATTGCTTTTACTTGATTAACATTTTCAGTGCGGGGCTTTTATTTGTAATGGAGCATTTTTAGATTGGAAAGTGATCATTTTATTTCACTGTCACTCAAAGACTTGTATTAGCTTTTGCACATTAGTTATTTATGGAAGGTTTGGAACATTATTTGGTAATACCAGCTGATTGTTGTGCAGTATGGGTGAAAAAATGTTTGGTTAACAGATAGTCCTATATTCAGATATTTATTCAGTTCATTATGCAGTACATCACCAATGCTCTGAATCTAATAATATATAATAACATTGCAATCACAAAGACTATTTTCTGCATTAAGTAAGCTACATTTACTTTTAATACTACTTTCCAATGCAGGACTTTCACTTGTAATGGATTATTTTTACATTGTGCGATTGTAACTTTAATTGAATATAGGATCTGAATACTTTTCCCACCACTTCAACTAAATGTACTTAAGTATCACAAGTCAAAATATTGATTATTCAGAATGGCCACATGCACTCTGTATGTATATTACTGTATATAGTATTGTTTTATGGTCTCTAATGTATTAATGTGTAAGAAACATATTAATGTTGTAGGTGGATGAAGTGAAGCTAACTTGAACTATTTCATATTCTATTGAGACTGGCTGTATTAAGTTTCTAAAGGCTTTTCCAGCTGGTATGTAATATAGTCTTGCTACATAATAAAGCCTTTTAAACTGCATCATGTTACAAGTTTATTTCATATGAAAAATATATGACTCTACAAAGTAATGCTACAGTGTCAAATATGTGAGAAGCAACCAACAAGTAGTGGAATAGAAGTAGTAAGTAACATATCATAGAAATAGACAAACAAATGACATCTTACTTATACTTACGTATAATGTTTGACTTAAAAGTATTCTGATAAACTGTAGGCTTATCTATACCCCTCCTTGCTGTAAAGAAAGAAAATACAGCAAAACCCTAATGAAATATTGCTTCCACTCTGGTATTAGGTGTTATAGTTTTCTTCATCTTGATTCCCCAAATATTTTCCTGGGATACACAGTGCTTTTATGCTAAAGCAAATGTGTCTACTTCCTGTCACAGACTCATTCTTTCTGGCTAGTTTGACGTGTTAGGACCTTTGCTATTTGTTTTTTTTCTGCGCATGTTCTGGTTTCAGCATTCAGGGGGTGAAGAGTTCAGGCTTTTGGGCATATTTCAGACAATAAAAATGGTCGGAATTTTAATAAAAAACATAGTCTGTAAACTGAAAAAATTTAATTAAATAACTTCGAAAAGTGTTTTCAAACATATTATGCTACTATTTATTTATACGTAGAATATCTAAAGTGGCCATTTTATTCTGCTACCATTAGATTTTGCATTAGTTATTTATGCAGGGTTTGGAGCATTAATCAATAATACCAGAAGACTAGTAAGTGCAGGGACATTTTACTCAGTATGGCTGAAAAAAAACTTGGGTTAATAGATAGTCCGATATTCAAAAAGTTCATATTAAGCAGTACATCTCTGACAAAATACTTATGGAGATTAGGCTACTAAAAAGAAATTAAGAGCCGACTGTAGTACCACAGAGAACACATTATGATTTATCTGTAATAAAACCACTGAATATCTTTTCAAATTGCTCTGAAGGCACATTTGCATGAAAAGAGCAAAGTCTCATTTCATAGTGTTCTGTCACTTCTTCTGCAAAGACCTTCCACATATCCATCTTTTCTAAATGTGCAATGCATGAGTGATTTATCAATCATTACTGAACAAACACATTACAAATATTTTTCAGCATTCAAACACACTGTAAATACAACATAGCACCGGTGGTGGAATGCATGTACTTTTACTTTTGATATTTCAAGTACAGGTTACCAGTAATACTTTACCTGAGTAACATTTTCAGTCAGGCCTTGTACTTGTAAAGGAGTATTTTTATATTGCAGTATTGTTACTTTTATTTTAACTTTTTCAAAAAAGGAAAAAGGCTCTGAATACTTCTTTCATCACTGCACAGCACCATAAACATTTATGTTTTGAAAATGTATTGTTTTCTTGTCACTTCACTGAAATTCACTGTTCCTTAGCTCGAGTCACCAAGGACTTCTGGCTTCTAGGCACATTTCAGCATTTTAAGTCTTTGTTTATAGATTTTTTAGGGATATGTTTGTCAAAGGCCTGTTGCCTGCATTTGACATTTGTTTATTCAGCACTGTTATCAGCTCTGTATATATGGATATGAACATAGTCAGTAGGGACTTGAAGTGTTTTTATTAATATGAACTCTCATTTGACTTCTGATGAAAAAATTACCAAAATGTTAAAAGATGCCATGGCACTGTGTTTGCATTGTTCATTTACATGCAAAATAAATTAGCTTAATTTTGTATTTGTGTTTTTTTCATTTACTGGTTACTAAACAAAAAATGTTCAGTACAGTAATTCCTTAATTTCTACATACGCATAAATCATTACTTTAAACTTTTTGTTATTCAAGGGGTTCATGTTAAAACATACCAGATAGAAACATTCCCCTGTAATTACTTATTACATTTGAGTATTAGTGGCTTAAGAAAACAAGACATTTAATTTTCTCATAATATATGTGAAGAAGCTTGCAATTCCATAAATGAATGCTACTAGGCCTGCCCTTTGATTCAGTAGTAATATTGACTAAAAATCCATATTGAAGCCAAGTGCATAAAAAAATATCATTTCGCCAGTTATGCCTCAAGTCTGGACCAGAGCCATTACGGATCCAGTTGCTATCTGGGTCGTGACATTTCATTATAGACTGGACTTGTCAAATCACACAACATTGGTCTTTTTTCTTTTTTTTTTTTTTTTTTAGTTCTTCTGTTTTATAGTTACTGCTACTACTTGTTGACTTTATTATACATTACTTGCGATATATTTTTGTTAATACATTATTAATGTAGTTTTTTTATTCAGGATACAAAAAATATAGGTTATGTCAAGATTCATGTAACACCGATTTGTTCACTATTTCTAACTAACTAACTAACTAACTAACTAACTAACTAACTAACTAACTAACTAACTAACTAACTAACTAACTAACTAACTAACTAACTAACTAACTAACGTATTAACTGACTGACAGTACCGTCGAGTCACCACATCAGCGGAGCAGCAGCTGTACTCTAGGTTTTAATAAATAGCGACAAACCGTTTCCATAGCAACGTGAACTGAAGTTCCAAACAGCAGCAACGGTCCGTGCAGATTCTTACTTTCCTGCCAAAATGTATTCAGAGTAAGTAAAGCGTATCTGAATTTACTCAGAACTGCATTTCAACTCTTTATCCAGAGTAGTCAATGTCGTCACTTGCAATGTGTGTTTAATTTAATGCTTGAATAAACCGGCAGTAGTCAAGTGATGTTAGCTAACTAATGCTAACGTAAATGCAGCTCGTACAAGCTATCATCGGAGAAGTTGACAGTGTACCGGGTTTTGTGTCCGTTTCCACCAGAACATCCCCAGTACTCATGAATAGCGACCTTCAACCAACAAAATCTGGCAAGTACAACTGTTCATACTGACCTAGTTTAGTTACCTCGCGATGCAACCTGCATCGCTATCGTCAACAGTAACACTACTCTGCTGGAACCTGTTTAAGAGATGCTACCACCACTGTGCCATCTACTGGGGCAAGAGTATGGTTTTGCTTGGCAAAGTCCAAATTAAGCATGAAATAGAAATTATTATTTTTTCTTTCGTCATTTTGTCTGTGTGTTTCAACAGGTGTGAAGACGGGGTACAACGCAATAAATAGCCACATCTCCCAGATTCCAGGACTGTCCCCAACCATCAGCACTCTTACCGAGGAGAAAACCCGAGGGCGAAGAGCCGGCGTCCTGGAGAGTGACTCTGACTATGTCAAGCTTGCAAAACAAGGAGGGCATAAGGGTAAAGCCATCCTGTTGCCTTATATCTACACATGTCCTTCTGGCTGGTTAATACTTCTTGCCTACTTTTATTTTCTCCCCCTTTTTTTCTTACTTGTTAAACAGGACTTTTGTGGCATGAGGAAACAATTGCCTCTAAACCCAATTCTTACAAACCTCCAGACTGGTTCTACACTGCATCAGGGGACAACAGCAAACCAAGGTACTTGTAACATTGGTCTTATTATTATCATGCACACTGACATCTAGTCAATTTATGATTAGAAAATACTTCCATCTCCATTACTAACACCATTATTTGCTGTGAATACTACTACTGCAAATACTGCTACTGTAATGATAGTCATGCTACTAAATTATTACACATCTGCTGCCTTTGCTTCTACTTGCTCATGTTTTTGTGACCGTTAATATTGCTACAGCACTGTAAAATAGAAGGAACAATAAAACAATAACAATCAGCCACTCTTGTTACTGTTTATTCTTTGTTATATATTTCAAATATCATTAAGTGACACATTTCATATACCTGTATTGCTTTTTTTTCCAGCAGCCCCATTAACAGTGAAGAGAAAAAAAACCCTAGAGTTTTTCAAACACTAGAACCCCCCTTTGGGACTGACAATATGTCATCCTGGGAGAGAGAGGACAGCAGCAGCAACAGCAAAAAGAAGGTAAACAGAGTAATGCCAGTCATTTAGAGAGTAATTTTGCCACAACATATTCTGTCTCAAGTTCTTTTGTTATGACCTCATGTGACGTTAAAAGTTAAAGGCTTTACTGTTACACACTTCATTTAGTTGTTACTTGATTAGGCAGACCTACTTTGTGGTTCAGGTACTTGTTTGAAGAAATGGAAAAAAAGATATCCTTTTAATATTTACATTCACAAAATGACTACCAAACATTGTGGTTTTGTTTTTGTTACTGCAGAACAACAACATTGATTGCAGCCAGATGGAGAAATTGCAGTCGCCCGACCAGTATCATGCGACCAGCAAATTCAAGAGGATGTAAGTTCATGTGATCACAAGATGGTGCTGTTGTTCTGTGGCTTGTGTCACAGAATGCCACTGTCAGAAACAGCGTTGTAGAAAATAGAATAGATTTATGGACCTGTGATCTTAATATGTCAGACCATATCAGTCATTTTGATTGGAAGTATCTGAATAAAAGGAGTACATGGTTACTGGAGTCATCTACAAAGCAGCTACATTATTATACATACTTGACCTAACAATAATCTATTATGAGTAGTTTTTGTAATTAAGTATGGATATATATCTTTATACATTCCTCTAAATCTGTACTTAGATAGTATAATCAAGGTTTGTTTGCTATGATGAATGTAAGCAATTTCATAATCTGCAGGAAATTTGCATCAGCATAAATTAGTACTTATTAGCATTGCAGCACATCAGATCTGGCTGATCCATATTTCAAAATCTGGGTATTTAAGTGGGCATTATCAGTAAATCTTAGACCATATGTCTCCATGTTGTAGTGACTAATCAGAAACACACATGGGCAGATCGCACACTCTGGTCAGACTAAACAGCACACAGAGCAATGGCTTCTGGACATTTACCTGTGTGTTTGCTTTGGCTCACAGCTGGTCTGTCTGCTGTGTGTTTCCTGTAATTTGGGAAAATATTATTTTGAATGTCAAACCTCAAATAACCTCAAGTACAATTCTACAGAGACCAGACAGAAAAGACTATAGTCCTAGAATATGTATGGTTATGATACTATTTGTCAGTAAGTCCAAAAAGAATCTGCTACAAAAAAAGTCATGTAGGTCCTTCAATCACATTAGTCAAACAAGTAAAAATACCATCAGTTATTTTTGATTAGTGCAGTGCAGTGATCATCAACACACAGTCTTGTGTAAGATACTGCCTTTGTAAACAGAGATTCTATAAATTTCCTGACACAAGACTGACTGGCTGAGTGAAAATAATCATTTATCACCCTTTTTCCTTTATTTTATTTAAGATAAGAAGGCCAAATCTAAGATTACAACACTTGGTCTGAAGGATAGTTGTGTGGAATTGGTTGTACGGTGTAAGATGAAGAGAAATCTAATGTGAATACCAGTTGTTGACTCTGTGTACTTTGTTAGAGGATTACATTTGTAATGAGTAACCAGAGTTTGTTTTGATATATAGTGTTGGAAGGATAAGGTCCATATTTGATGTTTAAACTGTGTCTGTTGTCATCTCGTTATATATCAAACATATTGACAAAAATTATTACATTAGATTGGTATATCTGGTTTTGATGTTCTTTAAAATGCTAATTTAAAATTTGATGTCTTTGGTGTCCTCGCAGAATATTTGACAAGAAACCAGCTCCTGTCGACATGTCTAAGCTGTTGAGCTTTGGTTATGCAGAAGACAACAAACCAATAGCCAACACTGATGTGTCAAGTAAGTTGCACAGTTAAAATCTTCCTGGTCGCCACAAATCATTTCCTTTTTCATTATGCTATCAAAATTTGCCTCTAGTATAATAGAAGGAAATAAAACCAAGCTGTTGAGCAGGGTATTTATTGATTTTATGACTCAATCTGTGGATATAGTACATAATGAAATGTTCACAAAATGTGAGGTGTGAAACTTTTAAGGTTTCAACCATTAAGAATTTATGGTATAGTGTAGAGATTGTTAGTGAATTATATGATAATGATTAGGTGAATGACTCATCTGCTTGTATATATTTCCATGTCAACAGATTAGAAGACTGCCAGTGCGTGGAAAATTCAGATGCTTCCAACAAGAATATTTGCCATCCTCTCCTCTGACAACAATAATTTCTTTACCCCTTCATGCTGAGCCACATCAAATATTTTACATAGTTTCAATTGTGTTGTCATATCAGATGGATTACTCAAGTGTGAAAGTGCTTCACTGAATTAAAGCTAGGACCTTGTATTTATTGTGCCTGTTAGTGGTGCCTCATTAACTGCATTCCTTAAGTTAGGAAGGCACCAGTTAACCCTGTGTTAATTTTTTTTTGCTGTGTCCTGTAACTCTGTAAAAGGCAGCTTTCAGGAATAAAAATAAAATGAAAATGATTCAAAATGTTTCACAATCTTTTTGACTTGCTCGCAGAAGCTGAAATTTGAATAACACTATTATTCCAGAAATTGATGACAATTTATTGTGTCATTGTTTGTGAGTTACAATAATGTGTTTTAACCACCCTCGGAAGCCAAAGGCAAATTTCCACATCCGTGGACAACAAAGATTATTAATATTGTCATCATTATTAATTTTTCTGGGACACATTAAAAGTGTAAAATTGCTCTTGAAGTAAATGATACAATGCACAATTTGATTTAGTTGATTTTTGCAAAATGTACTCTGAACAAACAGCATTTCTGTTGGTTGTGTGTCATTGTTTTGACATGCCAATGTGTTGCATGTCAAAGTCAGAGGTTATCACAGTGTTCTTTGCGAAATCATGTATGTATGTCATACATATAAGTTATGTAACATTCTATCGTGTTATGTAGAGTGGTACACCACACCATTCGTTTCGGACTCTCACTGCTGGCAGTGGCTGCGATTGAAAAGTATTTTTTGCTTAGGAAGGTTCCTAACTGAGTGAAATGACCTGGAAGTATCTAAGTGGCAGCTATGATAAGAGCTGGTTGAATTCTCTAAATGATAAGGAAAGGAGATTCCGTGCTTACTGTCTCATCTCCTTTAGCTTAGGAAACACTGGCCCTTCCATAAGGAAAGGAAAGGTGAAAATGCAACATTTAAAACGATGCACAATTGTAATTTTACTGCAGCAGACCCACGTAAATGTAGAAACAACAGAGCACCTACTTTATGCTTGTGACACGATCACAAAATTTATGGAAATCCTTGTATGATTGGCTGAGTTCCAAATCCATAAATATAGATTTCTTCTTTTTCAAATCCAGTTAGGAGCTATAATGAAGAGCAAGCATATTGAATTTCTAGTCAACACTATTATCATTGTGACAATATACTATATACATAAATTAATTTCATGTCTGAATATAATTTATTATGCCCCCTTCCTTATTTCTATTGAATACATTTTTAACAGCTAAACTCTTTCCACTTATATATTTCTTTTTACATCTTATTTCAACATTTCAATCCTGTTTGTTTTGTTTTTGTGGTTTGGAAAGGAGTATTTAGCATCCATCCGTCATTATAAATAAAGTTGGTTTAAAAAAAAAAAAGCCTAGTGAAAGTGCAGTCTGATTCTCTCTACACCGCTTTTGTCTTTTCCTAAGTCCTTATGCATTCTCCTTTACATCTACCGAACTGATGACATTTTCCATTGAGGTCAAGTAAAGTGGTTATAAAAGGAGATTATTTATTCTCTTTTTAACCATCTTGCACAATCTTCCTGACGATATTAAAGGTAATCTAACCCCATCAAACTTACCCACAGACTTTGACTTACTGGTTTCACTTTTTTGAAAGAAAGATTTGAGCTGAGAGGAGACCTCCAGTCCACTGGGGGCAATCCACTCCCTGTCCTCATACAAAATGTCATTCCAGCCCGGTGTTGAGCTCCAATGAGGAAGGTTCAGCACTTCCTGAGAGAAAGGAGGAGATAGTGAAGGTGGCCTGCACGCATCTTTCCCTTTAGGAGCAACAGCTACACTTTAGGGAGGGAAGATGCATCTACTGTGATCTCCTAGGGCATATCCTGTCAGCCTGTCCATTAAAAGGCGAGGCTCATCAGTGAATGGAGAGTAGCTGGGGAGTCAAACTTCCTCTACTTCAAGACCCTCCTGAGAGCTGACCCATGCCTCGCTCGCCAGCTCTAGTTGCAGTTAGAGCCTCTCCCATCTCCTCCCTGTTCACTCCTTCTCAGAGTCCCCTGATGTGTCTGACGTTCCCTCTACTTGCCTGGATTTGAAGGTTTTCATCAAGGCCCCTGCTACATCCCCACCACTTCATACACAATACGACTTGATCTCCTCCCTGGGGCTCCTCCCTTCTTCTCCCAAAGGCCGCCTCTGCTCCCTGTAGGGAGGCCATGAATCAATACATCCAGGGCTCCCTAGCTATTGGCATCATCCACCCTTCTTCATTTCCTGCTGGTGCTGGATTTTTCTTTGTGAAGAAAGACAAGACTGCGGCTGTGTATCAACTAAATAGGCGTCACCATTAAAAGCAAGTACCCCTCCCACTGGCATATCTGGTGATACCTTTTGGACTTGGTAATGCTTAGTAATGTAGTCTTCCAGTCCTTAGTGAATGATGTTCTTTTAGATATGCTTAACTGCTTTGTGTTTATCTTTGCTTTGTGTTTTTTTCTAAGAGTGAAGACGAACAAGTGCAGCTAATCCTTCAGGTTCTTCAGCGACTGTTGGGGAACCAGTTGTTTTTCAAGACGGAAAAGTTTCACCAGCAGTCAGTCTCTTTCCTGGGATTCAGTTTGTCATATGGAAACATCCAAAGGGACCCTGCCAAGGTTCATGCTGTTGTTGACTGGCCGATATCCACTGGCCGCAAGCCATTACAGAGATTTTTGGGGTTTGACATTTTATATAGCGACCCCTTTACATGCCCTCACATTCCCTGGTTCTAAGTTTCTGTGGAACACTCAAGAGGAAGAGGAATTTCAATAACCTGAAGCACTGGTTTGCCCTTTCTCCCATCCTCACAATGCCAGACCCCAAGCTTCAATTCATCTTCAAGGTTGACGCCTCAGATGTGGGCTTTGGGGAAAAGATACACCCATGTGCTTTGTTTTCCAGAAAGTTGTCTCCAGCACAGAGGAATTATGTTGTGGGTAACCGGGAATTGTTGCAGTCAAGTTGACATTGGAGGACTAGAGACACTGGCTGGAGCAGGCTGAACTGCCATTCCTAGTATGGACTAGGAGAATCCGGATTAGAATTTAACAAGAATCTGGTGTATACCAGAACAGTCATGAGGCTGAATTCATGCCAAGCCAGGTGGGCTCTGTTTTTCAACCATTTTAATTTTACCCTCTCTCATTGCCCCAGCTCGAGGAGCACCACTCAATCCACGGATGCTGGAGTGGGGTCATTCATCCAGGCTCAGCTGCCATCCAGGGGTAAGGCAAAGCATTAGTTTCCTGAAGCAGTGGTTTTGGCCTTCTTTGGTGGAAAATGTGGGGGAGTTTGTCCCAGCCTGACCTGTTTGTGCTCAGAATAAGACTTCACTACAACAACTTTACGGACTGCTTCATCATCTATCGATGCCACAACAACCCTGGTCCCACACATATCTTTGGACCGTAAGACTGGTTTGCCCCAATCCAAAGGTAACACTAGGCCAAAGGTCAGAGCGAGCATTACAATCTGGAGCTCAAGACTGGTCTCAGATGTTTAGTTTCCCAGAATCAATTCCTGTGGAGTCAACTGTTGGTATGGATTGAATATGCACACAATTCTTTTCCTGTTTTCCATCACTGGTCTGTCTCCTTCTCAACATACTGGACATTCTGTCCTTATGTCTGTCATTATGCATATATTCTGCTTTATTTTGTAGCGCTCACCTCTTTTCTTGTTGCTTTTTCTGTCCTCATGTGTTTCCCTTCCTTAACCAGCCACACCTGTTGCAATTTACCAATCATTCACCTGTCCTCGATTATTCTCATAATCATTCATGTGTATGTATACTTGCCTATTTCCCATGCTTCCATGCCAGATTATCTTTGTTCACTTGTGTTCACTGCTTTCTTGGTCTTTCCTAGTGTTTCTTTCTATAGTTTTGCCTTTTAAGTTTCCCTGGTTGATGGGATTTTTGCCAGTTCCCTGCATGCTTTTACTGCCTTTGTTGGACTACCTGTGTATGACCTTAAGCACCATCATTAAAGATTTTGCCTTTTTGAGCTCAGCCTTGTTCCCATCGAGTTTCTCTGCATCTGAGCCTTTGTTTTGTTCCTACCAAAGTTGTCACTAGTTATTCATTAGCTTCATATTGGCAGACATTACAACACAAGCTCACGGTTTTGTAAGGTTCAGTCATAACAGTAATTCACGTCACATTGGTTTTTTTCATTGCTGTTGGATGTGGTTTTGTTTTTGAAGGAACTGAGCCAATAATTTTTCACGTGTTTGCTGTTTGTTTGAGGCTGTCGGAATTTTTTTTTTGTGAGGGACAGATGCTACTCCTCTTTATGGAACCAATCAGTGGCAAGGTCAGAGGTCACTGCTATATAAGCTCTGCAGTCAGACATAACTCTTATTTTAATAACAACTAGCAGCAGCAACAAGTATCTGGAGGATTTACACTTGAAGACATTTTACATATACATTTTTGATTTCATACTGTCTCCTGCAGTCATGGCCCAGATTTTACTTAACCGTATGGGGAATGACCACAATGAGTATATCAAGTAAGTATTTGGGAGCCTCAACTAAACTTTTGTTGACTCTTTTCTTCTTGTTGCTCTTCAAAAGAGCATCTTTCTTCATATGTCTTATGTCATCGTGTTTAATAGACTATTCAGAGACTACACTTAGTGCAGCTAATGGATTTGCTTGAGTGTTCTGTATCATACATTAATATGTGGCACTAAATTGTTCTTAGACCCAGTGTTCAACTGAAAAATCCCTACTTGGACACCATGGAAGAGGATATTCTCTACCACTTCAGTTTGAGCACCAAGACTCACAACCTTCCAGAAATGTTTGGAGATATTAAGGTTTGTGAAATTAGGTCAGATTAAAGAAAATGATTTTGGGTATCCAACTCCAAAAGCTAGAAAACTAAATTCAGGTATCCTTGCTCTCTCTCTGTGTTTTCCATAGTTTGTGTGTGTTGGTGGCAGTGCGACTCGCATGAAGGCCTTTGCCCAGTTCATCCACCAGGAGCTGAAACTGCCTGGAAGCCCAGAGGAAATAAGAAATATCTGTGAGGGGACTGATCGCTATTGCATGTATAAAGTGGGACCAGTGCTGTCTATAAGTGTAAGTATTCCCTAAGTTTCAATGGTGGATGCATTGTGTGTGTGGACTTTACTTGTCTACTAATTATTCATTGCTGTAAGTAATAATTATTTCATGGATGTTCAAAAAAATATTTCCATCCATTGTACGTATTATAGCATGGCATGGGTGTCCCTTCCATATCCATCATGCTACATGAGCTCATCAAACTGCTGCACCATGCCCAGTGTCATGATGTGGTCCTCTTTCGCCTCGGAACATCTGGTGGAGTCGGTAAGAACAGTTGTTGTGTTAAAGGTGACAGAAAACGTTAGCTTTACCTTTCAGAGTGAACAGAATTCTTCAAGTGATGCATGCCAGTACTCCTCTATTCTGGGTATCAGACAGGACTATAATATAGCCCTTTATTGTCTCTAGGTCTGGCTCCAGGGACTGTGGTGATCACAGATAAAGCAGTGGACTATTCCTTCCGTCCCCAGTTTGAGCAAGTGGTTCTTGGTAAAGTTATCACCAGGAATACTGAGCTGGATGAAGGAGTGGCCAATGAGCTTCTGCAGTGCTCTTCGGAGCTTCAAAACTTTCCGGCAGTGATTGGACACACCATGTGCGCCCATGACTTCTATGAAGGTATAAACAGGATGTTATGTTCAGGTTGTTTGTGATCATATTTGGTATTCACCTACAGCACAGGCAAGAACCTCAGCAGGTCACATACATTGCTCAGATGGTGACAGATCCTGTTCTATGTCTCTCTAGGTCAAGGCCGACTGGACGGGGCTCTCTGTTCCTTCTCTCATGAAGAAAAACTAGAGTATCTGAGGGAGGCTCACGAGGCGGGAGTGAGGAATATTGAAATGGAGTCCACCGTGCTTGCTGCTATGTGCCGTGTCTGTGGCCTCAAAGGTATTGTTTTGTTATAAACATTCACACATTCACGCTTTTACATCCTACTTTGCCTATGATCCTTAGCCTACTTTGATACTGGTCAATAATGACATAATTAATTACATAATTTATATGTCATTATTATGCATAATGACATTTGTAGAAAATAGATGTGGAGAATAGATGAGATATGCAGAAAAGTGTCTTGTCTCTACTGACTGATTCTGATTTGACTAACATGAGAACAAAGGACATGAGCTTATACTAAATGACTGTTGATTTATTTTTTTTTCCTTCCAGCGGCTGTGATCTGTGTTACATTACTGAACCGCTTTGATGGAGACCAGATCACTTCCCCTCATGATGTGCTGGTGGAGTACCAGCAGAGACCTCAAGTCTTGGTGTCCCACTTTATCAAGAAACGCCTGGGATATATTGTCTGAGACACCTACATGTTCCATCCCTGGCACAGCATTCCCAAAAGATTGTATATAGCTTTGACTGATATGAGGATATGTAAATGTACTGTACTTAGCATGTTAATATTACACACTTATTTAAAAAGTTAAGATTATTATGATTTCTTTGATGCTAAAATATTGTTGTTTATGTAAGGTAACAGTAATTTTCTAAATATTGTGTTCTGTATGTTGATTTGACTTCAACTTGTAACTGCCAAGAGAAGTCGAAGGTTTTTCAAACTCTTGTACTTTATTTGCCTGTTTCAGCTTGTCACTGGGGTGAAGGACAACTGATTACATTTTTGGGGTAACCCAAGTCTATTGCATAATTATTTTAGCTATAACTACAAATCTAACAGATATAGAGACTATTCCAAATCCTAGGGGGATGCTTGTAGGATCAAGAATCTCACTTCATGTTAATGTTTGGAACAAAAATCGGCAAATTGTGAAAATGTTGGCTAATAATGGGGGTTTGCAGTTTGTTAGTGGTACTGAGTTTTAAATCTTATATGCTTGTTAGATGAGAAGCACTTATTATATTCCTTAGTATTTTCTCTTATGATACAAGAAGATGAAATTACCAGGCACATTATGAACAGGCACTGAACTAGTATTATTATATGTACAGAGAGGTCATTTTCACCTGTTGGATGTACATGTTTATGCTGTATGATACTGTATTCTTGTAGAGTATAAAACCTGCAATAAAGGTAAATAATAGTAATTGCACTGTATCATGTGGTGGTCAATACTGTAGCTGCCAATAACGGATTTCTTTGTACAGTGTGAACTGTCCAACTGTGAATGTTATTCTAACACATTCAGATCAGTAAAATGTATTTATAATCATATAATCTTAATACCTGAAAAATGGTTAGTTGGACTTGATAATATGACCCCAACAAGCCCTTGGTCAGAATTTGAGTATGGATTTTGTGTCTCGTCGAGGTGGTTTGGGGGGCTTGATGACAGACAGAACCTCTTTGGCATATTGGCTGTGGTGCAGACCAGCCTCCCGCAGTGCCTGCTCAACCCGCACTCTTGGATCAGACACAATCTGGAAAACAAATAAAAATGAAAGAAAAAAAAAAACAGTAAATAATATATTTCTAGCTGTTTCGCACTAGATCACACCCACTAGGTTACTATAGTTTGTTTTTATGGTTTATTACACATTTAATACTTGAAACAAGATTAATCACTAATCCTTCATGGTTTGGTACTGGAGGAGAAGATTATCACAGTTTGACAATCATTAGTCATTGCTTGTGTTACACAATAACCACATTCCAACCTGCTCTCCACAATGATGATAAAACCGCAGACCCACACAGACTCTTCAGTACAATGACTGACTTGGTGGCCTTGAGATCAAAGCTGTGTAAACAAGTCTATCAGCCAACCAGCTTGCATAATTTCTCCCACTACAGAGGTCAGTGCCCTGTCTCGCCCAAGATGAACCAAAACATAATGGCTTAATATAATCAAGGAAACTGGGGAGAGAGGCCTTGTAGGTTCATGCTATGTATGTCATAGACAAGGAGTTTGGGGCAAACAATCATATAGCTGTAGAGCTTTTTAAATCATACAAAAGCTAAAGGTTATATGAGGTTAGACATTATCATACCTCACCTGTGTGTCTGTGTATGTGTTAATACTGTAGAGAGGCCTTTGGAGCTCAGACTCCTTTACATTCAAGTGTCGACTCCTCCAAGCCTCTGTATCTGCCATCAACCTCTCTGGGTCTGCCACTGCCACCACCCCAACCTATGATGAATAGGAAAAAAAACATTTTATATAGTGCTAACATACAATTGTCTGCCATAAGGTGGCAGTGATGCCTCGACTCAGATAAGGATGAGTCCAAGTCTTCCCTTGTGGGTCATTTCAACTGACAGAGTAAATTAGAGTGCTTGAGAGGGTTAAGAGCAGATAATGATCCACCTGCTTTCTGAGAGCTTCCAGACGATTCAGTTTCTCTTCTTCTTCTCTCTGATGCTCAAGCTCCCGCGCCTCTCTCTCCTCCCTGCGCCGCTGCAACATATCTGCCCTAAACTGCACCCTAGAGGGAGCACAGAAGGTGTGGACATTAGACCTAGACAGCCCCTCTCTTCCTTTGCCACCGCAATGACCAACATTACCAATCGTTCTTGACACAGCAAGGCTCCAGGCTGTGGAGGGTTTTATGAAGCTGCCAGAGTGCAGCTCCTCTCCCATCATCTGTTTTTATCGCCTTTTCAGGCTCTCATGATTCCTGATTCTTATTCCAGCCAGAGTTCATTCTCGCAGCCAAAGTCAATACTATTATCTGCTATTAATGCCAGTCTCTGTCAGTGTCTGTGGAGAAATGCTAAGCAAATAACACCAAACATGAGATTTTTTTCAAAGGCAGAATTTATTTTTCAAGAGTAACTTAACATCAGGGCGACCTTCCAAATGGTTAGGGGTCCTACCTCAAGGGCTTATGGGTCATTCCCCTATACTCTTCCTGAATGTCCTGTCTGTCGCTACTGATTCTGAATAATAAAGGCAGAAAATGGCCAAAAAAAAACCTTAAAAAATGAGTAACTTAACGTCAGGCTGAATAGCAATGTTTCTGGTTGAAATTTTAAGTGTGTTGCATTTAAGAGGTTGACAAGACTGAGCAAAGAACACAAAGACACTGACACTCTATTGATCTTTTACGTGTATTAATGCTTTGATTGTTGGTTTAATATACATTTTAAATTAATATGTAAATAAATTATAAGATGTATATTCTGATATAAGTGAAGATGAAAAACCTGCCTGTTATTATAATAAAAAAAGGTATTGTCCCCATTAAAATCTAGAGATACCAGTAAAATTGTACCCACAGCCAAGCAACTTACATACAAAGAAAGTAATCTCAGAGGTCAAATTAGTGTATGGCTGCTAAAGATAATTTGGTACATATATGGTGGTGGGTAGTGAATCTATAATAAATGCTATAGCAGTATAGTAGTATAGTAGTACATAAGTTATTAACTAATACCTGTTACCTGGCACACTACTGTTACAGTGAAGCCTAGTATAAACATACTATAATCAAGTTTATTTGAGAAAATGGAGATAGATAACAGCCACATTTAATTAAATGGATGAATAGATCAATCAGTGCTCATATCGATAAACATTGATTATAAAAGTGTAAAAGCCATTTAAAAAAGTCATAAAAATTACAACAGGAGTGGAGTACTGTATTTGGATGCAAGATGCTGTTTATCAGTCTGCATTGGTTGGTCTTTCATTTGATATTCAAGTAATTTAGTATTGCACTTCCATAAAATTGGGTGACTCAGTGGGAATATTAAAAACACCCACGTCTTTCAAATTCCTTATCTTCACTTTGTGATTGATGCTTTCTGGTATAAACTTAAGTCTTCAAGCCAAAGCTGAGATAATGATAATGATAGTGAACATCATCATGGTTGTTTTGTCCGATTAGAAAAATCCACAGAAGACATTATACAGCTGCTTCTACACCCTGAGTTGTATTCCTTACGATTAGTAAACTGATTTTGATATGTACCATCATGCTAAAAATTGTAACATAACTGTATATGTTTTTGTAATACACCTGTGATTGTAAGTGGTTGTAAGCCAGTATGAAAAAAGCTAAATGCATGTCACGTCATGCTTGGTAATGGGCAATAATGTATTAGCTCTTGGGTCCCACGGTGCAACACTCACCTCTTCTTGTCTCTCCTTGCCTGTTCTTCCATGACGCTCCTCAGATAAGCAAGTCTCTCTTGATCTCTCTGCTCCAGCACATCCCTCCTCTTCTGCTGCTTTAAATAAAACTGCCTGACCTGAGGGAAAAACAACAATTTACAAAGAGTTACGACAAAAAGCTCCCAATAATTTGACTTCCACAGAACTCTTAGGATCGTCATGTCCTATCGATTGTGACAGAGCAGTAATCGGATAAGTGTAAATAGAGAGAATGAGATGATATTTCAATGTCTGGCAGACTAATGTACTAAATTACATGGAATACAATGCAGCCTAAATGCTCTCATTAATCAGAGAGTGTCTCAGATCGCCCATGCTCTCCTAGCAGACCCCTGAGGAGAGAGTTAATTAAACAGTCAGACACACACACACACACACATTCTGGTGTAGTTGTACCAGTGAGGACAATAACTAAACTAAATGATCAAAATACCCAGATAATTGTACAAATGTATCTTTTTAAGTTTTATCTCCACGTGTGCCCACAATTAAATACTTAAGACAGCGTAGCCAAAAATGATGAGCAATTTGAAGCTAGTGTAATTTTATCAAGTTGACAACCTAGTGATGGTTTTAATTTAGACAGACCCCCTGATGTCACCAAAGATAATGTGTTTTTATCTATCTAATTCAAGCAAGTTATTTAAATGTTTCCAGAAGTTTAGGACAGCTACATGACAGCTACATAGCAGTACCAGTGTTTCTATTCTAATAAATTTTCAATAATAGGTTCTTTTCCATGAGAAGTCACTTATACACTCATTCACACACGCACCAAAAGCTTATATGCCACATTTATTTTGTTTTTGAGGAGTTCTTTCTTTTCTGTGAAATCACTGATATGTGTGCTGAGTGCCTGGGATCAAGCTGAGCCAATATGACTAATTTCTTTTTTTAACTTATGAGGCTATTTTCTTGGCACGCCATAGACATCCATCTAAACCTAACTCATCTATACCTATTGTCTCCCATTTTAAAATTTAGCAGATAATTCCTGCTGAGGACAGTCCTGTGTTTTTGGTTGACCAGGTCCTCTCCATTTTGAGCTGGCTGTGAGCATCTCAAGTGGGCTGGCTGCATGATAAAGAAGTATTTGAATTTAAAATAAATTACCTTGTAATAAGTTATGCACACAATATATGGATCTTGTAAGCACAGGATAAAAAATGCCATTTATCATCTAGAAAGAATATTTACTGTAATATCTCTTATACAATAATGTATTAAATCAACTCAGTTTTTTTTTTTCAAAAGTTGTGTTTTCTCCCTGGTAACACAGAGAATCCTTTAAATCCAAGTAATGGAATTATACAAATGAGTGAGATTTTAACTTGATTCATGTGCATAAGTGTTGATATTAAGAAGTGCTTTGTGATGGGTTTGATGAAGGTGAGATTACCTTTTCTTTCTGCTGTGACCTGATGGTGGTCTCCCTCTCCTGCTCCTTCTTTAACCTCACCTCTTCCTCCGCTTGTTGTCTAGCAGCTATAGCTGCCTCCAGCTTCGCCACCTCCTCCTGCTGGGCCCGCCACCGCTGCAGCTACAAACACACATCCAAATACACATAGAGGAGAAACAAAAAGCAGATTATTGTCCATCAGCAGCTGTCTTGAAAGAATCATTCATTGGGAGACAACCAGCTGAGCCCCACTGCCATGGTGCCAAAGTGTGGCATGAACTCTTGAAGAGGTGTCACAGCCATCTTTCACACTTTGTGTTAGATCACCTCAGGACCCGTCAAAGCAGTGAATCTTAAAGAAAGCCTGTGTGTTTGAGCCCTATCACAAACAGTTATGCAGCAGCCTCTCTGCGGTGAGCAGGGTATTAAAGTGCTGCATTCCAGTGGGGCAGACGGACTCACAGATCTATCAGGGGAGAGCTCAGGAATCCCTGCGGGACTAAACTACAAATTAACATGGTCTCACACACATTAGCACCAGCGGTATCATCAAGTCATTCATAGATCATCTT